GCAGTTTCAAGGCTTGGTTGGTTTTTCAGAAATGAAGGCTGGGATTTGCACATTACATTTTTGTTTTATTGGATTATATCCTTAGACCATAAAAAAACTTAAGTGTGTTGGTGTATTCTACACAAATAGCTGGGCATACATGGCATGCGAGTATGGTTGAGGAAGCACAAGCAAATGTGGCTTTTCTTGTTTCTTATTTCTGAGTATGTGAACAAATCCTTGATGTAAGAGCTTTTTTAAATAACCTATTTTGTCTGAGACAGACACTTCCATGGCAAACACAAGGAAAAGAAGTCTGTTGTTGAGCTGCCAGCTATGTTCTACTGGATCTTTGTAAGTGTTGCCTGAAAGTAACTGCAACCAATAAGGGGAGTAAGGGTTCCTCATAATTACCACAATGTGCAAAAACTGCAATGCAAACTCACAATTTACTTGAGATCATCACCCTTTCTGAAACCCTAACACAGAATCTTTCAAAGTGTAGGATCCTCATTCTAGAGCTATCATATATTGAACCAAAACCTAGATTGGCATCTCAAGCTCCCAGCCTGTGGGCCATCCCCAGCTGGTCCAGGGCGTGTGGGAGAGCATGACCGCTGCTGCCATGCCATGCTGCTCCAGGATGTCCCCCCAGTGATCCCCAAAGCTGTGTCCTTAGGGGACAAGGTGCCATGACAGGGAAGCAGGCAGGGAGGTGGTGAGAAGGGAAGGAGCTTAGAGGAACGATAACTGACAGGGCCCTCACAGGCCTGCCAGGAGTCCTGGGCCAGATTGCGCAATCGCTCCAGCAGGAGAGAACCTACAGACTGGGAGTTTGAGACCTAAATCACTTTTCCTATGCTTGCTAATTACATGAGACTGAAGTGACACAAGGTATTCAACTCTCCTTGAGTGAGCATCTTAGTACTCCCTTGGTGAGATCAAACCAGATCACATTTGTTAGACCTGTGTGCTCTATCAATCTCCTATGCTAGTCAGTATGCAGTTATGTAATAAGAGAAAGTGAGCAGCTGTCATGCTACTGCACAGCATCCATCCCACCAAATCTACAGGTCAATCTTTCAGCTAACAGAAATGAAGTCAATAAAACCCAATGAAGTCATGAAATACTATGCTCTCTGTGAATCAAGTTTATCTCCTTGTCAAACTCAATTAATCTGATCTTTTAGTATTTTCTTTCCTCATTGCTTCACTTCATTTACTACATTATAATAGTTTGTCACTGTATTATTGCAGTTAATCATACATATTGCTCTAGAAATAATCATTTAACAGAGTAATCACTAGGATTCTGCCATCTGGCGCATGCAATTTTTATGGGAAAAAAAATCTTTCTCCCACAATCCATTATGTGCTTTTCACAGCTCCCATTAAATGATTTTGGAAAACTATGTATAACTTGCCTAAATATTAGTCTCAGAAAAACATCTTTAAACAGGAACAGATTGAGACAGTGTGTGTAATAGTTATTAATATCAAGTGCAGATTTAACTTAACTCTTCTGAGCACAATACTACTTGCATAATAGGATATAAATAAAAAAACTCATAACGTAGCCTAATTTTTCACATTGGTTTCTTGATTAGACTTTTTTCTTAATTTCTAAACAACTAATATTCTCCTATAAATGTTCATAGTGCTGCAGGAGTTTTAGCCAGTCAAATTTGTGTAATGATCAATTGCAACTATTTGACACAGCGCATCTGAGAAAACAAGGTTTGAACACAATAGCAATTCCAGTTGGAATTAGGTACTGCCAGCTTTCTACAAAATAAGGGTATAATTCCAGTAAGGAAGTTCTTGGTGATATGAAACTAATGTTTAACTAATGTCACCAGATTCTTAATGAAAGTCTCATATGTACAGTTTTATTGTTTCAAAAGTATCTTTCTTTCTCTTTCTTTCTTTCGTAATATTTTTCTCCCCATCAAGCTGCTTTGTCTTTTACTTTCTGTTCCTGGAGTCTCTGAATCAGTCAGGACACAGTGGTGCGTGCGTACTGGACGCTGTAGTTAACTGCTTTTGCTTTTAACAATGTACCTTCTTGACCGAGCACAGTATGATAGTAGAAAGATAAGAATATTTTGCAGTTGTGAGTAGAGAGCAAATAATCAAATAGTAGGCTCAATCAAGCCGTTGATTTGAACACAAAAATACACCAACTTTAGAAAAGGAGAATAAATGCACTGACAAATGGAAGGGCAGCTGGAAGTGATGAAATCCCAGCTGACCTGAAAATCTGTAGAGAAAAGATCTTAACCCAGTGTTTCAACTATGCCAAAAGTTAGTTTACAAATGTAAATGAGACAGATGTGATTGCAGCAATTGTGCCTCAAAGAACAACAGAGTTCAAAATGGCCCCCCTTAAAGGGGCAAGCCTTTTTTTGCTCAATCACTTCCCCTCAACTCTTTTTTTTTTTTTTTTTTCTTTTTGCTCAACAGAAAAATCCTTGGTGATCCTCATTAAAAAAAATTCCTCGGTCTTAAACAGTTTAAGATATAGATGATGTACTCTGTAGATGATGTACTCTGTGAATCCCAGAGTTACTTTCATTCACCATGTAGCACTGCCAACGTGATGTTTACCGTAAACCAGTTACAGGACAAAGTTGCTGAACAACAACTGCCCTTGAATGTTGCCTTTGTTGACCTTAGGAAGGCGCTCAACTCCATTTAACTCTGATGCCTTCTTGCAAAATTTGGCTATCCAAACATGCTTTCCATGACAATATAAAGATGCATATGCTGACTCAGCTGATCCCTTTCCATAGCCCATGGGTGCTGTGAGCTTGCCCCTACGTTATTGACTTTGTTCTTGGTTGAAATACAAGAAGTCACATGTCCTACCAGTACAGATATGATTAACAACATGATTCACTGGCAGACTTCTAAATCTGCCAAATCAAGGCTAAGAGCAAATCCCAGCAAAGTGAAATAAAGGATCTTCTCTATTCCAATGACTTAACCGTTGTCCTTTCTCAGAATGACCTGCAATATTTGCCCTTGCTTTGTTCCTTTTTGGCCTTTGTATTAATGTAGATAAAACAAAAAGCTTATATCAACCATGTCCGGGTAAAAACACATTACTTCCATTGCCACAAAAAATATAACTGAACAGCTGCCAATTAAACAACATCAAGTCCTTCTGTTACCTTGATAGAACAATTACCGAAGATGCCAGAATTGATAAAGACCTTTCAGCATGCTTAAAGTCAGTTGTCTCAACTTTTGGTCGCCTTTAAGTGGGAGGGTGTCAAAGTGCCACATTTACAGTGCTTCTGTGCTTCATTGCCTTCTATCTATAATTGTTGAAGACTCTTCGTTTATATATCCAAAAACTTAACTGCCTGCAACAATGTCACCTACACAATAAAATGGAAATCAATATGGTCTGACAAATCACCAACAATAAAGTACTAAGGATGGCTTGGAAACCATGTTAGAGTGGAGGCAAATGACCTGGTTGGTCAAGTCATATGTATGGATAACAATAGCCTGCCTAAGTGAGTTCTGCACTCCTGCTCAGTCAATGCTGATAACCATTTGGTTGCACATGTGTGATCAATATTAATGACAAAAAAAAAAAATCTAAGTGGGAAGCAGTGTTCCCTCTAAGCTGTGTGGTAGCACAGCTTCACAGGTGATTAATCAGTCCCATCCAGTCAGTTTGCTCTGTGCACAGACCCTTGAGCCTCTGATTGGGCAGGGCTGATTGATCACCTGCAAAGCTGTGCTACTGTGCACCTTAGAGGGAACACTGGTGGGAAGCTATTTTCTAACTCTATGTAGTATCTCATTTAATGTTATCACGGTTAATGTTTCATTACTTATCTATTACAGCATGTGCTCGTTTAAAGTGTACAATGTCTACTACTTGCAGGTCTTCTGGAAAAGAAGCCTGACCCTTATAGGGACTTCAAGCCAGAGTAGGGCAGCAGTCCCTGCCCCCAACAGCTCCCCTAAATTCCTAGTAAGTTATGCAGCTTAGCACCTGCAGTTCAGCTGCACCCACTACCATGCTGCTGTGTTGGAGCCTGCTGCTCGCTGTGCGGAGTAGGGAGATGGGTAGATGGGGGGCTGAACTCAGGCTGGCCTCATCCACATGGATCAAGCCTCCCACTACATATCCCATCTCCTTAAAGCAGGATATAACAGCTACAGATTCCTGAGTGTGAACGAGGAATGTGAAGGAATAATTGACTACCCGACAAGCAAATGTTTATCAGTCAGTCAACAGGCTAGTTGACTAGTTGCTTCCCCCTGCCCTTGCTGCTTCTATCAGAAAGAGGCAGTGGGGAGGGGGAGGAAGAGATGGGGGTACTTCAAAGTGTCAGTGCCGTGTGGAGCTTGGGGTGAGAGCCTGGGCTCTATACGGTGTTGCTGCATGGAACCCAGGGTCAATAGGGTCATCCCCCACTGACTCTGGGTTCTGTGTGATGCTGCTGCTTTGAAACACCGCATGTAGACTGACGCTGGGCTCCCCACGGTGTTCCAAAGCGACAGCACCCCATGGAGTCCAGGGTCAGCAGGGGAGTCCCCAGCTGACCCCAGGTTCCATGCAGCACTTTTACCTTTCAAGTGTAACAGCCCTAAGGCTGTTGCTACACTTAAAAGGCAGAGGTGCCCTATCAACTAATCCAATAGTCGATGCAAAATGCATTGACTATTCCATTAGTCAGTTACTCCCAATTTAACATACCTAGTGTGAACCTGCTGTTCTACTGTACTTAAAAGGGCAACATACTTGAAATGGGCTGAGTGGACTTAAAAGGACAATGCATGTCTGCCTGCCTCTCAAATACACACACACCTTGGCACTGTGCATGCACCATCCGGAGGAGAGAGTGGTGTGTTCCAGCTGGATAGTATGGGTTTATCATTATGTTCAGTTCTGCAGGGAAGTGTTTGCAGTCACTGCTGGGCATCTATTGTGTTTCCTCCTTCCTACCTCAGTCCACAGTGCCTTGTAGAGCGTGAAGCTACATTAACAACATTTCAGCCAACTGCTACTTCTTCATTTAATAGCAAGACATTCCCTGGGAAATATTCCACCCTTTGACCTCATGACATCAACCAAGCTTCACAATCATTGTTGTGTACAGTATTAAATTGTTTGTTTAAAGTAGCATTTTTCAGAAACATAATTACAATGTTAAGCAAGGACTTACTGTAATCAAATTTTAAGATACACAAAAAGCATACCTAAAGAATCATTTACATTTGCCTCTATCACCTTTTAAGCTAAAAACAGAGCATGGTGTGTCCAACTGAGTAATAGTATTTTCATAATATCCCCTCATATTTTATACTGATAGTCTCTCTTCCTGAGGGATAAGGGGTTGCTGTTGAAATATTAGCAGGGCACAGACCAGATTGTGGACTATTCTTTGGATCAAGCATTTTGGACAAAATATTTTCCAGAGTTGGAAGTCTAATAATAGTCCATCTTCTAAGCATACCTAATTGAAGTTGTAAAAGATGTGAATGTTCACACTTCCAAAAATAAGGCTTTTTATTTTAAGTGCCACACGTGAAAATTTTGGCCCCTAAATTTCTGGTTGGGTCAAATCTGTACTAGTCTCTCTCATACCATCGTCCATACAAAGCAGCTGTTACTAAGCCAGCGGATGGTCCACTTTTACTCATGAAATAGTAGTTGTTTTTCCAGCCCACGTGATCAGTGAAGTCTAGGTTAACACCAGACATTAGCAACAGAGGAAAGATATAGGAAGTACTGAAATTTCCCCCAAGCTGAAAATCTATCAAAGCAGTGGCATCTGTGACCTCCTGCCCACAGGTGTTATAGCTGAGGCCACCACATTTCACTAAGGCACAAACCTGAACATAGTACGTGCCATGGACTGTGTGAAGCCCATCAAAGACGCCCAAAGCATACAACTCATCCGAGATAGTAGGTCTCTGGTAATTTAAATAACAACAGAGGGTGTTGGCACAAACATGAAGCTCTCCTTTAACTCCCCTTACAGGAACCAAAGTGAAATTGTCATACATCATCTCCCTGTAAAATATTGGAGGGGTTTCTTTTTCTGCTGCCCTGCAATGGGACTCGTGTTCCTTCTTGTTGCAAACCTGATCATCTATGTGAAGACTTATAAAACTATTGTGAGGGTATTCAATGCTCTTTCCAGGTCTTGCATTGGCTTCACGCTCTGGTGGCATCACAGAGATCTCCGCTACTAAAAGTTTGCCATCATGACTTTCCATGTCATGGTAGATGAAAGATTTTAATGGAGTATATATGCCACTACCGGTCATACCCAGGGTAGGATGGTGGATATTGGCTGCCAAAACATTGATATTAAAAGCAGTTGCAAAAGCTTGTTGAAATTCTACAGCAGACAGAAGTGGCAGCTGGTTCATCCATGCAGTTGGATACACAATCTGCTTCACATTGTATTCCTTGATGAGGCTTACCGTAGGCTCATAGAAGAGTATATCAAAGCAAGTGAACACGCCAAACTTACCAGCAAAAGGTGTATCAAAAAGCACATGATCAACCTTTGGAGGTGTATTGAAAGCATATTCAAAATATAAGTTTTGCTTGTGATATCTGGCTACCAGAGTACCATTGGCATCGAATACCACATCAGTATTAAACTGGTATCTCCCATCAGGAGGGCAAAGAAGATCATTATACCCACAGGGCTGCTTAGAACCTAAGTTTGCCACTAGGAACATTTTGTTGCTCAGTGCCATGCAGCTCAGTCGCTGAAGAACCTGAAGAAACAGTTAAGGAATAAGTAAGCATGCTTATTACTTTCATCGTGTATTTCAAACCTCTTGAGGTTATTCACTCTGCATTTGCAAAAATATTAAGATGTCAGCATTTGTAGAAAAATGTAATGTGTTCTTTAAACTGTTGATTGGAGCAGGTCCTTTCTATAGAAAAGACACATTATTTCTGACTTGAATTTCTCATGATTTCCAAAACTGCTTAGAAATCAAGTTTTATTCACACCATTTAGTCATTGAAAAGAAAAAATCATTACACCTAAAGGTCTGATTTTTAAGAAATGGCCTCCAACTTTGTGAGTGCAAATGATGAGGGCTGGATGAAGGCATTTCATGACAGTGTAACTGATTTGCAAGAGCAATCAACTACCAGAAACGTAACAAGGAGGATCTGCACCTGCAATTGCTTGCTAGTGCAATTGGATGCTGTTGTGGCTCCTAAATACTGTAAACAATGGGAGAACTTAGGGGAGCAGTGAAATGAACTGACAGTTCTTAGTTTTTAATTATGGGAAACTGACAAAGTAATATAGACAAACTATCACTGAGATTTTCATTTTGGGCCTTTAAAAACTTTAAATAAATGCCCTTAATTTCATCTAGTTTGTTCCAAAGAAACATTTAGTTGTCATGCATCTCGGAAAAAGTTTCCTACTCAACTGTAAGTCTTTTATTGGACATTTTGAGGTAAACTGGTGAATCCTTACAGCTTAATTTTATTTGGATAATGTGTATAAATTTTTTTTTCTGAACACTAAATATCAGTAAAATAGAGTAAACCAGGGCTACTCAACATGTGGCCATTTGTCTGTGGCCCGTGGTGCAGTTTGGGTTTACGTGGGACTCAACACGCAGCCCATGGGTGGGAACCAAAACAAAGAAGCAGTCAATATAATGATCCTCTGTTGATATGAGTTTTAGTAGTTAAATTCCTGGACTGTCATTACTCATTAAAAGGGCTGTCATATGGGTGGCAGTTGATGGCACTTGCATATCAGTTACATATTGCATTTTATTAGTGTCAGCAGAACTGACTTAAATGGGGCCTGCGTTTTGTGCAGTCTTGCCTTAATCTTTGCAGTCATGCCTGTCAGTGTAAAAGAAGCTATTTGCATATATATTTGTATGTATATGCAACCACACTTAAGTTGCGGCCCTCAGCATGTGCTATGAGTATCATTTTGGTCCCCAGAGCTTCCAAAGTTGAGTAGCCCTGGAGTAAAGAGTTTACATATTGCACTAAAGTTGTGTTGGATGACATGAGTAACATGACGACTAGAAACAGAATGAGCTAGGTTTTTGGTTTGCTTTGTTCCTCTCCCTGAAAACAAATGCTTAATAGGCCTTATCTTTAAATATTTAATATTTAAATAAAAATTTTATTCCCAGATATGTATTTCAATGGCTTCATCTCAAGCAAGTAAACTGCTTTTCTAGCTACCAGCCCTGCAAACTCAACATGGGATCTGAAAGTTAAGCTAGGTTCTTTCTGGCCATGTCTATACTTACCACGCCAGAGATCAATCTTCTAGTAAGGACTAGGGATGTTAAATATCAGTTAATTGAATAGTCGATTAGCCTCATGAATTCTTATCAGTTACTCAACTATTCTATAGTCCCCGGTGGCAGAGGTGACATCCAGTTTGCTCCAGCCTCCCCTCCTGAGGAGCCCCCTGCCACTCCGTGCTGCTGCCTCTGTATCAGAGGCAGCAGCATGGGGTGTCAGGTGAGAGCTGGTCCATTAGGGGAGCCAGTTTAAAAACCAGCTCCCTTTGTAGATCAGTTGCCTGTCGCCCCGCGCTGCTGCCTCTGATACAGAGGCTGCAGCGTAGAGTGGCAGCAGCCCCTGTCCGGAGGTCTGTCTCAGTTTCCAGACTCGGTGCAAGCTGGAAATGAGCCAAGCTGCCTGTCCACCTGGCTCCTAATACACTTTAAATGCAGAGCCACAATGGGGTAGGGCCCAGACCTGGCACAAACCGGGACTGAGCTGGGCTGCTGGCCAGCCTGCTAAAGAATTTACTGGTGGGGGGAAGGGGGAGGGAGCTAATACGTGTAGTCTATAGCTTTAACTTATAAGCTTTTCTTATCAGTTAATCGACTATTACAACCCTAGTAAGGACCTACTAAATAGAACACTAAGGGCATCCCCATTCAATGCTGGTACCCCTGATTTGCAAGGAGTAAGGGAAGTCAACGGGAGCATTTGCTCCTGTTGACCTCCCATTGTGGAGACAGCACCAAGCTCAGCATAAGATACATCGACTCCAGCTATGTTGTTAACATGCATACTTTTAGCCGAGCTTTCAGCTCTAATATACACCTGGCCTCTGTCTTGCATGTAACAAGGATTCTATGGGACAAATTCTTCCCTTAGTTACACCTGTGATTCATCATGTGTTCAAACTATGCCTCGTTAACACCCGTGCAACCCTATTACTTATTTGTGGATGCGCAAATGTAACAAAGTAGAATTTGGTGGTGCAAATGGAGCATATTTAGCAATTCTGTTGTTGCATCCATGCTCGCTAATGCTCTCTCTCTATTGCGCTGTCTCCTGCAGGGCTAATGAGACTCAAAGGCAGCTAAAATATATTTGTGTTACTCAAGCTGGCAGATACAACTCTGTATTTATACAAGGAGTGGAGCAGTTGATTGAAAAGATACTATTTTTATGTTACCATTTTAAATCTTCTCATTAATGGATTCAGTTTTAAAACAATTCAACTTTTTTGTGTGAATCAGAAAATCCACTTACCAATGTAAACTCTGGGCAAATCCTGCTCCTTTACCAACACAAAGTAGTCCCACTAAAATCACCAGTCAGTTTTATCTTTGATCTTAGTCTGTAAATTTCAGTAGTGTTAAACCAAGGATTGTGGCCCATTAGAGTTAGTTGTATGAATACAGTCAGCATATTTCAACTCTGTGATTATGCAACAATCCTAGGGATGTAATAGTGTAGCTGATTAACCAATAAGCAAAAGCTTACAGGTTAATGCTATAGACTACATGCATCCCCCCTCAGCCAGTAAATTTTTAGCAGGCTGACCAGCAGCCCAGCTCAGTCCGTTGTGGCTCTGCATTTAAAGTGTATTAGGAGCCAGGCAGGCAGGCAGCCTGGCTCGGTTCTGGCTCACACTGGGTCTAGGAGCTCAAACCCCACCCACCCTGGTCAGGGGCTGCTGCCACTACACGCTGCTGCCTCTGTATCAGAGGCAGCAGCACGGTACAACAGGCAGACAGTCCGCAAGGAGAGCTGGTTTTTAAACTGGCTACCCTTGAGGACCAGCTCTCGCCTGGCACCCCACACTGCTGCCTCTGATATAGCAGCAACAGCGCGGAGTGGCAGGGGGCTCCGTGCGGGTGAGGCCGGAGCGCACTGGCTGCCAGTCCTACCCCTGGGGACTATAGAATAGTCAAGTAACCAATAAGAATTCATGAGATTAATCGACTATTCAATTAACCAATATTTAACATCCCTAAACCAACCATTTCAATCCAACCCTCTGTTGTACAAAAACATGAATATTTTGGAGCTGTTTCTGGTGATTCTGATATTGTTTTCTAGTTTTAAAAAAATGGGTAACGGAACACATGATGCTACCACAGAATTGGAATATTTAATCTAATTGCCTTCATAAAACCATAATGAGACCTTCTAGAGGAAAACTCTCCATGCGTCTCTTACATATGACTATTTTGTTTATAAGAATAAAATACAGCCCATTAATAATAATGTGTCCCTTTAAACATTGATACTAATGTTTCAAAGTTGGCTGCCTGGAAACCCCCGAGACCCCAGGAACAATTTTCACCAACTGTCTACTTGGAATTAGTTTTGCTTACATAAGACTACACACTGATCTTATATGCTGGTATGAATTCAGAATAATTCTTTATGGTAACAGAGCTATTCCAGTGTAAATGGGGAGTGACTGAGAACACAATCTGGCCCTTATGAAATATTTTCTTGGTTACTTTTAATTAGGGCTAATTATATTTTAAGCGCTCCTTGGCTCCTGCTGTTTGTTTCTCATCTGGAGTACAAATCCTCTGTTGTTCACTACACTTCCACAGTATGCAATTTTAAAATCTATACCTCTGTATCGCTGAACAGCTGTGGCTCTCTGCATGGATTCCATTTCACAGACTGGGGACAAGGAACAAACTCCAAATAAGGGTAAATTGTCTCTCTGGTGAAGTTGAAGCCATGGATCCCATCTTCAGGAAATACGATTATCTGTGCCCCCTGTAAGCAAACTAAACATGAATCTTGTAGCCAAAAACAGCATGTGGGGGGAAAAAGTGATCCACTGCTAACAAGCAACACAAAATGAGATCACTTTTGGTGGGGAGGTTCCATTCAAACAAAAGTAATAGCTTAAATGTGCTGGCTTAACCATATTACAGAACAAGCATTTCTTGTCTTTTTAGGCAGCATTATAGAAAGTATTTCAAACTATTTACCTAAAATATCAGTACCCACCTTACACTGAGAACAGGGCTCAAAGTAGGTGGGAAAAAGTGGTAGTACTCATTCAAACTGCTTACAAAGCTCCACCCATAAGACACCAAAATAAGGCACAATTCACAGTAGATTGTGTTCTCTTGTAGAGATGTGAAAGGTTAACTGATTAACCGGTAACCATCCCCCATTAAGGTGGATGCTTACTGGTCCCGGTCAACTGGTCGGGGCTGGAACAGCTCCCTTCCTGCTGCAGGCACAGTGCTGCTCCAGTTTTATGGGGCCTATCACTCACAGGGGCTGCTCCAGCCGCCCAGAGTACCTTCCTCCTCTCTATCCCTGTCTGTGGCGAGCCCCAGCGCATTGCAAGCAGAGACTGCTCCAGCAGGGTTAGAGCAGCCCCTTGTGAGCTAGAGGGGTAGGGAGAAGGAGGGTGCGTGCCAACCCAGCCGGGCTGGAGTGCCTTCTTCCCTGCCCTCTTTAATCAGTTAACAGGTTAAACTCCACTTTTAACCAGTTAACCAATTAAGCGAGATTTTACATTCTTATTCTCTTAGCCCCTCAGCTCACTCTCAGGATGATGTTTTATGTCAGGGCTACAAAGGGTGTACCAGAGATGTCCTTTATGGAATATTTCTGGACATGCATCCCTTTGTAGTACAAGAGTCTGTGCCTCTGTTTCTATCTAAGCAAATTGTTGCAAACTTCCTTTCTGTGACTAAAGTTTCCTTCCCTCCTTTCCAATACTAAGTACAGATGATCCTCCTTCAGGTTGCTGTCCAACGCTGATTTACAGTTCATTCTGAAAACAGTAAGTAGCAGTATGTAACAAGGAGAACCAAGCAGTAGCTATACTCCATCGCTCTCTCCTTTCCTCTGGAAGTACAAAAAAAATCTGATTTCTCTCATCCAGGAATACACAATGCTGTTCACTGTGCTGTTCAATGTTATTAAATGTTTGTACTAGATTTGTGGAATAGCTATTGAAGTTATATAATCCAACTTTAAAACAGGAGTGCAGCTCCCTAGAAAAGAAGTGAAGGAAAGGAGTAACATTCTGTGGGATGTTTCAATAAAGATCTAGGAAAGTTAAAATCATAAGGCTGGAAGATACCTCAGAAGGTCACAAAGTCCAATGCCTGCCTAAAGCAGGACCAATCCAAATTAAATCAACCCAGCCAGGGCTTTGTCAAACTGAGACCTAAAAACCTCTAGGGATGGAAATTCCACCACCTCCCTAAGTAACCCATTCCAGTGCTTCACCACCCTCCTAGTAAAATAGTTTTTCCTAATATCCAACGTAGACCTCCCCCACTGTAACTTGAGACCATTCCTCCTTGTTCTGCCATCTGTCACTACTGAAACAACATCTCTCAATCCTCTTTGGAAACCTCCTCAAGAAGCTGAAGGCTGCTATCAAATCCCCCCTCACTCTTCTCTTCTGCAGACTAAATAAACCCAAATCCCTCAGCCTCTCCTCAAAGGTTATGTGCTCCAGCAGCCTAATCATTTTGGTTGCCCTCCGCTGGACCCTCTCCAATGCGTCCACATCCTTTCTGTAGCAGGGGGCTCAGAACTGGACACAATACTCCAGATGTGGCCTCACCAGAGCTGAATAAAGGGGAATAATCACTTCTCTAGATCTGCTGGCGATGCTCCTCCTAATGCAACCTAATACTCCATTCACCTTCTTGGCCACAAGGGCACACTGTTGACTCATATCCAGCTTCTCATCCACTGTAATCCCCTGGTCCTTTTCTGCCAAACTGCTAATAGCCATTCAGTCTCCAGCCTGTAACAATGCTTAGGATTCTTCCGTCCCAAGTGCAAGACTCTACTCTTGTCCTTGTTGAACCCCTTCAGATTTTTTGGCCCAATCCTCTAATCTGTCCAGGTCACTCTGGACCCTATCCCTGCCCTCCAACATATCTACCTCTCCCCCAGCTTAGTGTCATCTACAAACTTACTGAGGGTGCAATCCATCCTCTCATCAAGGTCATTACTAAAGATGCTGAACAAAACTGGCCCTAGGACTGATTCTTGGGGCACTCCGCTAGAAACTGACCGCCAACCTGACACGGAGCAGTTAATCACTACCCATTGGGCCTGACAGTCTAGCCAGCTTTCTATCCATCTTACAGTCCATTTATCCAATCCATACTTACTTAACTTGCTGGCAAGAATATTGTGGGAGACGGTATCAAAAGCTTTGCTAATGTTAAGGTACATCACATCCATCAACTTTCCCATATCCACAGAGTCAGTTACCTCATCATAGAAGCTAATGAGATTGGTCAGGCATGACTTGCCCTTGGTGAATCCATGTTAACTATTCCTGATCACTTTCCCCTCTTCCAAATGTTTCAAAATGGATTCCTTGAGGATCCCCTGCACAATTTTTCCAGTAACTGAGGTAAGGCTGACTGGTCTGTAGTTCCCTGGATTGTCCTCCTTTCCTTTTTTAAAGATGGGCACTACATTTGCCTTTTTCCAATCATCCGGGATCTCTCCCGATCTCCATGAGTTTTCAAAGATAATGGCTAAAGGCTCTGAAATGACATTTGCCAACTTCCTCAGTACCTTCAGATGCGTTAAATCTGGACCCATGGATTTGTGTATGTCTAGCTTTTCAAAATAGTTCTTAACCTGTTCTTTCTCCACCATGGGCTGCCCCCCTCCTTCCCATACTGCAGTGCCTAGTGCAGCAGTCTGGGAACTGACCTTGTCCGTGAAGAGAGGCAAAGAAAGCATTGAGTACTTCAGCTTTTCCCACATCATCTGTCACTAGGTTATCTCTCTCATCCAGTAAGGGACCCACACCCTTTTAGATCACCACCTTATTGCTAACATGCCTGAAGAAACCTTTCTTGTTACCCTTCACATCCCTTGCAAGCAGCAATTCCAATTGTGCTTTCGCCTTCCTGATAACTGCATTCTCGAGCAATATATTTATACTCCTCCTTAGTCATCTGTCCAAGTTTCCACTTCTTGTAAACTTCCTTTTTGTGTTTAAGTTCACCAAGGATTTCCCTGGTAAGCCAATCTGGTCGCCTACTATATTTGCTTTTCTTACTGTGCATTGGGATGGTTTCTTCCTGTGCCTTTAATAAAGCTTCTTTAAAATACTGCAAACTCTCCTGGACTCCTTTCCCCTTCATGTTAGTTGTCATGACACTTCTCCATTCAGGGAATTATTGAGTAAGGGATGTGAGAGGTGCTAGATTCTTAAACAAAAATGGAATAAATTCTTCTATAATAATTGTCTTTTTTCCCCAAAAACTTGAGTACCTGAAGTTGAGGACCTTCAGAAGTGGTCTGATATTCAGAGGCGCTAAGGTTAATAGGAGTTGTTGGCTGTTCAGGATCTCCAAAAAACAAGCCACTTGTTCAGGTAAATATCGGCTTAGTTGACTAACTTTAGGCATGAAAGTTTGAAAAAATTGTTCTCGATCACTAGAACATGTTATATAAGACTTAAGATGGCCACTAACTGTGGACATATTTTCTGACCTGTTCGGCTGCAGCTATTACTTGCTCTTCATATATATCTAGGTTTCTGCTCATCAGCTCTAATGCAGAGTGTCGATCAATCAGGGTTGATGGGTTAGGACTCAGAATGGATCGATGTTCGTACACGGCAGCAACATAACGTCGTTCTCTGTGAACTTCTGCTGAGACAACTTGATAGTAGAACAGGAAAAGAAAAACCATACTGCAGGATTCCAACATGACCATTATCTATAAATCTGGAATGAAAGAGACAAGGCCAAAACATCTGAACAAGAAACCATACCAGAAGTTTACAACTTTCACACTCTTAGCTGTGATTTATTAATAGTAAAAATACTGGATCTAAATATTTTTCCCCCATGTTCCTGGATAAATGTTGCTTCTAAAATTCACATTAATCTGTGTTCAAGTGACACTTCCAATGTACTATGTTCATTTCCACTGCAATTATGTCTGCAGTAATTTCCTTGTTCAATTTCCAATCCAACTCAGTGCAACTATCATTTCATTCACATAAATGCATTCATCTACAAATGAACAGAAAATTCCTGAAGGAATCAGACTGAGGACATATAGAATCACTGTGCATGGTAGACTAAATATCATTTGATTCAGTGAACTCTTTCATAAACTGCTAGGAAAAACACTGACTATAGCTCAGATAGATATTACTGCTTTTTATTACAGGCATAAAATATATGTTGCCCATAAAAACAGTGTATGCATTTTTCTCTGCTCTTAATATTCTCAGATAAATTGTACTCCTTCCTGTTTCTCCTGAGGGTGGGGGGAGGGAGGAGAGAATGCAGTTTTGATGTGCCAGGTGCTAAAATATGTGTTAGTAGCAATCTGAAGGTATTGAAGCAAGGGAAGTAAAACCCAAATTAGTAACTTGTGACTGAATCACAGAGCTCTCTCTCTGTTTCTTTTATGACATTTTTCTCTTCCTGTCAAACTCTACCACCACACCTACAATAGCAGTCTTTGGTAGCAGTGCAATGCAACCCAAGTATTTGGAGTTCTCTCAGTAATGTATGTTAAGTGAGCCTATCACACCTACTGACCCCAAGGCTGGCAGACACTGTAGCTTAGATAAGTGCGCACAGGAGCTGGGACTCTAGAAGTTCTAATTTGTGTAAGCCACTGACTGGCTCGATGGCCATGGGCAAGTAACTTTACCTTTCTGGTGTCTTCTCATCTATACTGTAAGGAAAATATACTCCTGTCATACCTGGCTGGGAGAATTAACTAGTTAATATGCTTTTAGCATGTGAAACAGTAGAAAAGATTCACATTTTTTCTCTTTCTATATATTAAACTTTATAAATACAATATGGTCTTGTTGGCATCATGTTTCTGGCACTGTGATATTTGGGAGTGAGCTTCTTTGAGCAGTACTGGCTACAAGAGGGCCACTTGGACAATGGGTACTGTACACTTGGGGTATGCTTAAACTACGGGATACGCAACTTCAACTATGTTAATTACATAACTGAAGTCGAAATACCTTATGGAACTCTCCACATTGCAGGAAGCCGAAGGGAGAACACTCCCTTCGCCTTCCCTTACGCCTCACGGAAGCAGGACTGCTGGCATCAAGAGGAGTGCCCCTCTCCATTCAAATTAGTGTGTCTTCACTAGACCCGCTAATTCGAACCCTGGAAGATCGGCAGCTTCAATCTTCTCTGTTGCATAGACATACCCTTGATTACTAGCATCTTAATGTCTTTTCACTAGGTATTCTTCAGTTTAGTGGTGACACTTTCAAGCATATTATAAATATCCTAACACCATAGGACCAAAACTCAGTGCTCAAGATAGCTGGTTACTATTAGACACATAAATGCAAGCTGAAATAAAAGCCACCTTATTTCAAAGGAAAATGAATATGGCAAACTCTATAAAAGATGCTTCAAAATGCGGGGGAGAAAAGGTGCTGCCACCTTGTTTTTTTAATATGCCATGAACTAAGAATTGGTAAAATCTGGACCTGTTGGGTTCCTGTTTTCATTTATAACAAAAAAGGCATTTCTCAAATCTTCTATTTTCTGATAATGAAGCACAACAGTGCTTGCTATGCAGTGTAGTTGTAGCTGTGTTGTCAGTCCTTGGGTAGTAGACAGATAAAATGAGAAAGAGAAGACACAGAGCTCTTCTGTGTGACCCAAAACCTTGTGTCTCTTGATACATCTGTTGGTACATACTACCCTCCTTGTCCTGCTTTCTCTCTCTAGTAGCAGTCCTTTATCAAACCAACAGAGAAAACAAATATCCTAAACAAGCACATAGTGCCTTTCCTCCAAGGACCACTAATGAAGCGCTAAAACCTCCACGTTAGTTCTCAAGTTAAATGAAGCCTGAAAACTTTAAAGATGAAGGGCCTGACCTTGTTCTCCCTAAGTATTTTGCCATTCGAATCCTACTACTATACTGTAGGTAACACATAAATCAGGATCATTTTACTGGAACAAAATCAGAATTATTTTTTAAAAATTCATTGTGACAGAGCAAATACAGAATTGTAATGTCTTTTTAGTGTCTGAAAATATAGTCCGATTACTTTGATATTTTTCAGCTCTGCGACAGATTTCCTGTGTAGCATTTCAAAAGTAGCTTAATCTACTCCACTTGGGTCCACTGAAGTCAATGAGTCTTCCAATGTTGAAACAAGTTTTGAATTGAGCCCCTCACCTCTCTTGACTAAATTCTAATGTCATTTGCACTAGTGTATTATATAGTAACCTCCAATGACTCTAAGAATTTGATTCTCTTGCCTTTATTCCCTTTGTAATACATGTGTATTTTAAAAGAATAACTATGTAGCTATATTCGTTAATGATGAGAGCTACTGGAAAAACTGAAAAGCCATTCAATGTGAAGGCAAATTTTTATTCATTGTGAATTATTATTCGTTCACCTCTATTAATGTTTAAAAAGTCTCAGAGGGGTAGCCCATGTTAATCTATAACTTTAAAAACAACGAGTAGTCATGTGGCACATTAGAGATTAACAAGAATATAAGCACTGGAGATGCTTGTGTGGAAAGCACCAAAGAAGTATATATTATTATAAGGAGATTTTATCACTGTACATTCATTTATATATAACATTTTAGAACACAACACCTCATAAATGTCCTTTTGTGAAATTACATTAAATAACTTTTCTTCAGCATCAGAGGGGTAGCCGTGTTAGTCTGAATCTGCAAAAGCGACGAGGAGTCCTGTGGCACCTTATAGACTAACTGAAGTGTAGGAGCATAAGCTTTCGTGGGCAAAGACCCACTTCGTCAGATGCATGTAGTGGAAATTTCCAGAGGCAGGAATAAATATGCAGGCCAGGATCAGGCTGGAGATGACCAGGTGGATCCAATCAAGGAGGATGAGGCCCACTTCTAGCAGCTGATCTGGAGGTGTGAATTCCAAGAGAATAGAAGCTGCTTTTGTAGTTAGCAAGCCATTCACAGTCTTTGTTTAATCCAGAGTTGATTGTGTCAAACTTAAAGATGAACTGTAGCTCAGCAGTTTCTCTTTGAAGTCTGGTCCTGAAGTTTTTTTGCTGCAGGATGGCTACTTTTAGATCTGCAATTGTGTGTCCAGGAAGATTGAAGTGTTCCCCTACAGGTTTTTGTATGTTGCCATTCCTAATATCAGATTTGTGTCCATTGATTCTTTTACGTAGGGACTGTCCTGTTTGGCCGATGTATATAGCAGTGGGGCATTGTTGGCACATGATGGCATATATTACGTTGGTGGATGTGCAGGAGAATGTACCAGTGACAGTATGGCTGGTCTGGTTAGGTCCTGTGATGGTGTTGCTGGTGTATATATGTGGGCAGAGTTGGCACCGAGGTTTGTTGCAAGGATTGGTTCCTGAGTTCGAGTTATTATGGTGCGGTGTGTAGTTGCTGGTGAGAATATGCTTCAGGTTGGCGGGTTGTCTGTGGGCAAGGACCGGCCTACCTCCCAAGGCCTGTGAGAGCGAGGGATCATTGTCCAGGATGGGCTGAAGATCACTAATGATGCGTTGGAGAGGTTTTAGCTGGGGACTGTAGGTGATGGCCAGTGGTGTTCTGTTGGTTTCTTTCTTGGGCTTGTCCCGTAGCAGGAGGCTTCTGGGTACACGTCTGGCTCTGTCAATCTGTCTCCTCACTTCCTCGTGTGGGTATCGCAGTTTACAGAATGCTTGTTGAAGGTCTTGTAGGTGTAGGTCTCTGTCTGAGGGGTTGGAGCATATGCGGTTGTACCTCAGTGCTTGGCTGTAAACAATGGATCGTGTGGTGTGTCCGGGATGGAAACTGGAGGCATGCAGGTAAGTATAGCGGTCGGTAGGTTTTCTGTATAGGGTGGTATTGATATGACCGTCACTTATTTGTATCGTGGTGTCCAGGAAATGGACCTCCCGTGTAGATTGGTCCATGCTGAGGTTGATGGTGGGGTGGAAGCTGTTGAAATCATGGTGAAATTCTTCCAGAGTCTCCTTCCCATGGGTCCAGATGATGAAGATGTCATCGATGTAGCGTAGGTAGAGAAGGGGTGTAAGTGGACGAGAGCTGAGGAAGCGTTGTTCCAGGTCAGCCATAAAAATGTTGGCGTATTGTGGGGCCATGCGGGTGCCCATAGCAGTGCCACTGGTCTGGAGGTATATGTTGTCACCAAATCTGAAATAGTTGTGTGTGAGGATAAATTCACAGAGTTCAGCCACCAGTTGTGCTGTGGCATCATCAGGAATACTGTTCCTGACAGCTTGTACTCCATCTGCATGTGGGATGTTTGTGTAGAGAGCCTCTACATCCATGGTGCCTAGGATGGTGTTTTCTGGAAGATCACCTATGCATTGTAGTTTTCTCAGGAAATCCGTAGTGTCACGAAGGTAACTGGCAGTGCGGGTCCCGGCAGACCCGTCACAGCCCCCTGCCGGAGTACCTCCCGATACTCTGGCATATCTGATAATCCGGCACCACCTAGGTCCCAAAGGTGCCGGATTATCGGAAGTCTACTGTACTTCATCAACAAAACTGTCAGCCAATGTCCAATTAAAAATTGTTATTATCAGTGATAGAAAGAGCTTAGCTTGTTCAGGTGCCAGGCTGAATTTACTGCATGTTTTAGAAAAATTATTTTTTGTCTTGCAAACTGAGCAGATTTGGCATGCAAGGCCCAGACAGTAAATATGAAATCCTAAAATGCAAGTTGCATAGATTCATTTTTCAGAATATAAACTAACTGGAAAATATTACCAATGTACACTTCAACTATAATATTCCCTCTATTTCATTTCTGCTTAATATTTTCCATTTCCACATTGCCTTCAAAGTTACTTTGTAAACATTAATTTATCCTCCTCACAACGTTGTGAAATGGTAATAGTCTTATTTTAGTCATGAAGGAAACTGAGGCAGAGAGAAATTAAGTAACTTTCTCATGGTCAGACTCCATTACATGCAAACTAGAGATGTTAAAAGTTGGTTAAACAGGTAACCGTGTAACCGCTGAAAATTTCTAGAGTTACATGGTTTCATGCTGCGGGCTCTGCATTATAAAGCTTAAATAAATCCATAATGAGAGGAAAAATGCAGAAAGTATAATTATCATGGTAGCTTATGACAACCCACAGCTCCACAATTTAATGGTATTGATTATTTCTTCTACTTTGTCCTTTCCCCACTCCCCTAAATGCACAGAGAGAGACTACGTGTTCTGCTTAGAACCAAACTGTAATTATGATTTCTAGCAACAGGAGCCTATAGAAGGTATAAATCCAAAAGTTGGTAGGCAAATGTGAATGTTTCATAGGTTGTCACTGCTGTTAATACTCAATCAGCAGTATTATCTTGGTCTTAAGCATACAAAATTAAACGTGGCATCCAAGAACAGGTTTGCAGGTTGATTTTGGATACGTCTAGACTACAGAGCTTTTTCAGGGTACTGGAGGTCTCCTGGAAAAGCTCTGCCGCGTCCAAGGAACACATCTGCTTTTCAAAAAAAATTTTGGAAACACAGATGTGTTTTTTCGGCATCCCTGTAAACCTTGTTGTACAAGAAAGAAGGGATATTCCAAAAGAAGGGTTTTTCAGACATTTGGCACCGTGTAGATGGGCCAAATGTTGGAAAAGCCTCTTTGGAAGAAAAGTGGAAAAAGATACGCAAATTGTGAACCGCAATTTGCGTATCTTTTTCCAATTTTTCTTTGCAGTGTACACACAGCCACAGACAAGTAACTGAAACCTTTTCCTGGTTATGCTGTAGACCTTAAATAATAACTTTTCTCCATTAGTGTTTCTTTTTTAATTAGAGTTGTACAGTAATATTATACTAGATAGAGAGTACTATACTAGGCAGAGAAAGGTACTCACATGATGATAGCAAGAAAGATGTTTCTGAACATCATTAGAAGTAAAACCAGTTCCAGGCTTGAAAACTTATATCAAAATGTGCATAAAATGCACTTTTAAAAACATATGTTTTCAAGTGTATTTCCAACAGCCTTTAAAGCACAGTGACCACATAACTTGGCTTTTTTCTAAGTCTGAAGTTTTAAACCATTTTATCATAGCTTGGATGTCAAAGTAATTATCAGGCTATTTATTAGATTATTCTTCCCCTCAAAATCTAAAAGTTAAGTTAAACACACGTTATGCAAAAGTTATGTTTTTATATATCTCACACACTAAATTTGACCATGGTATTGAATTTATCTACACATTAATTTATACTATCTTATTTTACATGGTAAACATCGAATACTAGAACTAGAAGGGACTAGAGATGTTAGATATTGTGTAATTGAATAGTTGTGTAACCACACAAAATATTATCAGTTACACGACTATTTGATAGTCCCCGGAGGTGTGGTTGGCAGTCAGTGCACTCCTGGCCCCACTCCCAGGGAACCTCTTTAGGCAGAGGCCACATGAGATGGCAGGTGGAGCCAGTTTAAAAACAAGCTCCCCTCACAGACTGGCTGCCTGCCACCCTGGGCTGCTGCCTCTGATACAGACAGAGCAGTGCAGGGGGGCAGGTGTACCTCTCTGTGTGGGATCTGAGCCCTGTGGTTGGCAGTCAGTGCACTCCTGGCCCCACTCCCAGGGAACCTCTTTAGGCAGAGGCCACATGAGATGGCAGGTGGAGCCAGTTTAAAAACAAGCTCCCCTCACAGACTGGCTGCCTGCCACCCTGGGCTGCTGCCTCTGATACAGACAGAGCAGTGCAGGGGGGCAGGTGTACCTCTCTGTGTGGGATCTGAGCCCCCCCACTGACAGAG